TTTTTAATGAAAAGTAGAATCTCTAAAAGGATAAGCCTTGGAGTTTCAGGGAACAGAGCCGTGAAATAGTCGTTTTTGAAAAGTGTCATAACTGTATTTGGAGGAGAAGCACTTGTAGCTTTTGAAAGAGATGCTGCTACACAGGAGAGCCTTCAGGGACATGTCCTTCCCTCCGCTCACCATTAGATGCAGGGACTGAGCAGCTCACCTACTATGTAGAGGTTCTACATGGGAGAATGTCTTCATCTCCAGCCCCCAGTACCACGACCATGGCTTTAGTTCAGAGCTCAGCATTTCTCCTCTGTCGTACTCTCTCAGTCTCCCCTGTCTCCTCCACCAGCCACCCTCCTTATAAAGATCTTTCTGAAATTCAGGTTCCACGTCATCGCTCCCTGATTAACTTCTCCAGCAGATTGCCAGTGCTCCTGGCACAGGAGCCACATGTGGTCCCTCGCTGCCTCTCAGGTCAGCATCACCTCCTCCGCTACCTATCCCCTCACTCCCCAGGTCCCTGTGCTGGCTCCTCCTCACCCTTCCCACCTGTCTGCCTGCTCATGCTCCCTCCTCCTCTAAGACCTTGCTGGAGGGTTGAGGCTGCCTCCTTGGAGCAGTGTCTGAGTCCTCAGTGCACTCCCAAGCTCAGGCCCCAGGGCCCCTGCACCAGGCACATCGTCTTTGCTTCCCATAGCTGCTTAGTGGGTGGCACGGACCACATGGTTTTCATATGTGCTTGTAATGTGGTGGCGGCCTAATATCTGTCAAATGAATGAGTAGGTATTTCAGTTGGCTTTGGAAATTTCTCTTCTCATTAATTCTGAAAGTAAGTAATTGGGGGAGAATCAAATGACCTGCAGCCTTAAGAAGATACTAAGTTACAAATTAATCTTTGAAAACTTTGCTTTGTTCATTTCTAAACCTACTCTTGTCGGAAGAAGATGTTCTTGTGAACTGGGGCATCCAGCTGTTCCCTGTGGGCTATCGTATGGGAGTCTTTCCAAGCCCATACTGCACAGTGGAGGCAGAAAGGAAGGAGTCGGGGCTTTGGGCCACTCAAACCTGGGTACAGGTCAAGGCTCTGCCATTCCCCTACTGAGAGACCTTAGGAACATTGTTTGACCTCTCTGTGCCTCCTTGTCTTTATCTAATACAGGAAACTCTAAGGTATAGAACATGAGATAGGATGAGTAAGGCGCCTGGAAGGCATTTATGCACTTGGTAAATATTTATTGAGTGCCTGCTGTATGCCAGATACATTTTAGTGAACAAAACAGAGAAAAACTTTTACCCTGAGTGGGAGGAAAGACAAAAAAGCAAATAATAAGTCATAGTAAGAGTCAGGAAGATTATACAGAAGGCTGTAAGGAGATGGAAAGTTATTGCGAGGGTGGTCAAGCCAGGAAACACCTTCTCTGAGGAGGTGCCAGTGGGGAGCGGCGTGGAGGTTGGGGAAGGGTGTGCAGGCAGATGTGAGGCCATGGGACAGACAGGTTTTATTCTGAGAGTGATAGGAATCATAAACATGAAGTCCTCAATAAATAAAAGTTTACTAGGTTTTCTTCCCCCTTTTCCCCCCTTTTCTTTCCTGTACTTAAGCAATATGAAAGAATTTCCTAAACTGTTCCACAGTGATGTGGCCCAGAACATGCCATTTAGTCTTAACTTTGATTTTAGTCTGCTGAAACCCCAGGACAGATTATACCTTCTTTAATCAGTATACCTATAAATTAGTACTAACATTGAAAAAGCACTTTGAGATTTGGGAACGTTATGCAAACATCTGGAATCGCTGTTATTACTGCGGTGATTTTCATGCCTTGTGATGCCCTGGTCTTCAGATTCTGGTTGAACAGACCATTACGGGTGTTCTTGGGCTCAGCTCAGTACTGAGTACATCAGTGGCTCAGACAGTCAAAAATTTTGTGTGCTTTTGCTCCTCAAAGTCATATTTGGGATGATGGATCATTTGGCAGATGCGTCGCTGGCAGCTCATTTTGGGAGAAGGACACAGTATATCAGCAGGATGTACGTGTGTCAAATGAAGTTCATTATTGATGTGGCAAATGTAAGTCCAGTAGACTTGACAACCTTCTAAGGGAATAAATATTATGTGTCACCATCATTGAAGTTGTGGGTCAGTCACGGAATGACTTAATCTGTTATAAAACCCTTATCGTCAGAAGCTTTCCAGAAACATACTTTGAAATAGTCATTGCTTAGAAATGAGAGGTAAATGGTACTGTTTAACCTTTCTGAATTCAGTTATTACTGAGTGTCATGGATTGAATTGTGTCCCTAAAAATATGTGTCAACTTGGTTAGGCCATGATTCCCAGTATTGTATGGTTGTCCTCCATTTTGTGATTGTAATTTTATGTTTAAAAGGATTAGGGTGGGATTATAACACCCTTACCCAGGTCACATCCCTGATCCCGTATAAAGGGAGTTTCCCTGGGGTGCAGCCTGCACCACCTTTTATCTCTCGAGACGAAAAGGAAAGGGAAGCGAGCAGAGCGGGGAGACCTCATACTATGAAGAAAGCAGTGCCAGGAGCAGAGCGTGTCCTTTGGCCCCGGGGTCCCTGTACAGAGAAGCTCGTAGTCCGGGGTAAGACCGATGAGAAGGCCGACAGAAAAAGCCTTCGCCTGAAGCTGATGCTCTAAATTTGGACTTTTAGCCTACTTTACTGTGAAGAAATAAATTTCTCTTTGTTAAAGCCATCCACTTGTGGTATTTCTGTTATAACAGCACTAGATGACTAAGACACTGAGCTTGAGTGGTTTTTTTTTTTTTTTTCATTTTTGAGATGTTGTATCCTTTTTGTGCATTGGTTGATAAGGGTGTTCAGGAACACCAGTGAAATGTAGATTTGGGAAAAACAAGAAATCTAGTGAACCCCACTGCCATTTTCCAGTCTGAGTGGTATCTAAAAAAATTCTTAAATTTTTCAAAACAGATTTCTCTATATTAAGAAACTTGAAACCTTTTACTATGCGTAATCAACTTAAGCTTGGGAAGTTCTTCCCTATGTCTGGCCCATATCTCCTAATGCAATATGAGTGTGTTTCTTCTTCATCTGTGCAAATAGAAAACAGCTGCCCAGCCTTCCCCTTCTAGCAACCCTTCATGTACTTGAAGATGGTTATTAAGTCACTCCCTAGCCTTCTCTCCTCTGGACTAAATAATGCCTTAACCTGATCTTCAAAGTTCTTGTTTCCCACCCCTTTAATCATCTCTTGATCTTCTCTAAGCTTTTCCACATCCTTCTTTAAATGTGGATTCCAAATTGGAACATTGTATTCTAACGAGAGTTTCACCATTGACTGGGATTGCTGTCTCTCCCTGGCTGTCAAATGTCATTGTCATTCCTATAGAAAATGAGACGATTTTATCAACATCCAGAAAAATGAAATGTAGGACTAAGGTTCCTTTTACAATGGACTGGGCCTTCATTTGTGGCTGCAGCTGCTGGTTGTGGTGTCTGAAGCCTTTAGAAACCCAAACTCCAGATCTATTCTAAGAAGAATTTGGAGGCCCACAGACTCCACCCTCCCTGTTCTGGGTTTGGTGATCCGTCTGTGGTACAGGAATCCATTCCCAAGCACTCGTCTTAGGCAGAACTCTTGTGTACAAGGAGTTTACTTCTGGTTGCTATGTCTAAATCAAATGCAGTGTACATGAACGCTCTTGGGGTCCTGCCCTTCCTCACCCAGCCAGTTTCTTGTGGAATAGATAAGTACAAGACAGTTATTTTTGTGTCTAATCTCATTGAAATTGCAGAGGGAAGAGATCTCAAAAACTGTCCGAAGTGCACAGGAAGTAGATGGAAATCAACTGCCCCGACGCCCATTTTTGAGAATTGGAGGTGCAGCATGTCATTAAAATGGTCTTGATTGTATGCCATCTCTGTGTTCAGGATTTGATTAGTTCACTGGTGTGACTTTCTACCCCTTCCCCTGTGTTTTCGTAAAAACTTAAGTTCCTCGGGTGGAAATGCTCCTGGCATGGCGATTTTCAGAATCCTGGCTCAATTTAAGGCAAGAGGACAGGCCTGACTGAAGATTTCCATTGCTCATTTCAGCAGGCTTGTTGTGCCCAAACAAAGCCCAGCCTGGGTGCTCAGATATTTTCCCTCCTTTGCTGGCTCCTGCAGGAAGCAGCTGTTCTGGCATCAGCCTTGGCCAACCGTGTGACCTCGGGCAGGTGTAGGCAGGAGGGCAAGACAGAATATTGACCACAACGATTGCATGGCAAAGCCTAAGTTAGCACGGCTGTCGGGATATCACAGCGTCTGTCTGTTTTGTATGTCTGACCAAGAGATTTGCTGATAATGATATAAAATCCTTATTATAATTTTCCTCTCCAGGTATTGGGGCTCGTTAAACAACTTGTAATTGTCCTTGTTCTTTTGAGAGAGCTAATGTAAATTTCATATTGCAGCCAAAATTGATGGATAGCTGGGATATCGGGTCTGGGATAATTGATGACTGCGGCCATTTTGAATAAAGGGCTAAGCTAATTTCACAGTAAGATAAAGTATGTTGGATATTTGTAGGTTCCAGAAAGGTGCGTTTCCGTGGACCATGCACACTGTTCACTGAAAGCCAGGTAGATTGTTTCTGGTTCTGTTCTGATTAATCACTAGGATACATATGCACAGTTAAAAAAGACATGTAGAAAATTAAAAGACGTTTAGTAGGGCATCTACATTTTTTTCCCCTTCTTTAATGAGACTCAGAATTTCAGTGGGGTAGATAACACGTTAGGAAGTTTACCAGCTTATATTTGAGAACAGAAACTTACAGATCTGGTGTCTTCTTGTAGTAAAGTTGGAGCAAGCCCAGATGTCTCTTTTCTTCGTTGCTAAAAACGTATTCTTGTATCTCTGAGCAGTAACTACAGGGCAGGCCTGTGAAGTCACGTGCCGGCTCTGAAGGGCACCGAACATGCAGATGAGAGGGTAGTGCTGCTCCTAACTTCTCTCTTTTTTTTTTTTTCCCCTAGTCTAACAGGCAGCCAGCTAAATTGAACCTTCTCACCTGCCAGGTGAAACCAAATGCCGAGGATAAGAAGTCTTTTGACCTGATATCACGTGAGTCCTTTTTCTGTCTGAACCAGCTACTGCAGATTCCGACACCTGCATGCTGCCGTTCTCTGGGCGTTGGAGCAGCAGCCTTTCTAAGCACGGCTCCTCAAAGTGGGCGCTTGAACACTCAGTTATCCCTGCATCCCTCTGGCCTCCTCATTAGCACCGAGCCCACCTGCAGGTGGGAAGGCATAGCAGGATCAGCTTTGACCAGGAATGAAATACAGTCTAGATTTATACATGGAACTAGACCAGTTCTTGACATGGGTATGCAGTTTTATCCCCTTGGAGAAATTTTTCTAAATATATTCCCATTTCTCTCCTAGATCTGCAGAATCACAGTCTTTGGTGTGAGACTCAGAGTTAGATTTTTTTGTTTTTTTTTTTTTTAAAGTCCCCAGGTGATTCTTACCTGCACCTGTGGTTAAGAAGCACAAACCTAGACTTGGGAATGCAGACCTGTCACTCTATCCATACTCGTCATTTGCCAGAGTTACAGCCCTGCAGAATTGGGCTCTTAAAAGGAAAATATTTCCCCGTCTCCATGCAGAACTGCCTTCAAACTTCTTGAACCGATGACACTGCATTCTGTCCCTCTCATTCTGTGGTTCAGAATTTGCTATCCCTTGTGCTGAGAGAGCATAATGACACCCCCCCGCCCAGCCTGTAACCTGTAGTCTCACAGCGTTTAGAGTGGAGGGAAGATGCTTCCTCCTCTAGGCTGGTTGCCTGTGTTTGCTCTGGCTCCCATGGGTACACTAACTGACCCACCCTGTAGCTTGAGCAGACACCTCTTTGTCAAGGGGGTGGATAACAGTGGCAATAAATTGACTCTCAAAAATGCCCTGAAGTACTGCAGCATAAACTCTAAGTTTGCTTCCTTCCAGGGCTTCGAACCAGTATGGCAAGGTTCAGTAATTGCCAACGTAAATGAGGTCAGAGTACGCATTGCTAAAAACCAAAAATGTTGCCCATCGATTTTGACCCAAGTAGGAAACAAATATCAGTGCCCCACTCAAAGATGGTGGCCAACTACACCACTTGGAACGTGTGTCGCTCTCCACAGTCCTACCAGTAATCTACCACATGGATCCCGAAAGTTTTCAGGCGCCTGATGTGTGGGAAATTGGATTACTGGCAGGACTGGGAGAGCGACACACATTCAAAGCAGTGTGGTAGGCCGCTGTCTTTGAATGGGGCACAAGGGTTCCAAGCCTTGCTTCCTTTATCAGCGCCCAGCAAGGCAAGCCAACAGCTGAAGTGTGTGGTCTGTGTGTAAAACCATTGCCGTTGAGTCGATTCCAATGTGTTGAAGCACCAAAATACTCTCCTGCCCCTTGAAATCCTTCTGATGCAGTTGTGTGAATGGAAGCCTGATAAAAGTCCAGACCCGAGTGACAGAATCAGTAATGAGACTCCTGGGATGGAGTCTCAGCTCAATTCTGCAACATCAATTGAAGTTCAGATTCCCCATGGTTTTTATGACCAAGAAATTTCTTGGGGTATTGATGAGAAGGAAATAAGAAAATTTGGAATTATAGTATGACTTCAAAAAGCCGAGAACCCCTAGATTCAAGAACCTGCAGGTTACGAATGATAGTTGTCAGTTATTGAGCATCTTATATGTGCCAGGTGCTTTATATAATTAGCACTAATCCTCATGAAAGCCCTGCCAGTTCCCTATTTTTTTACAGAAAACTGAGGCTCAGAGCGATTGAGTGACCTGTTATACAAGGTCACACAGTCATGAAGCAGGGATTCAAACCGAGGCTTTCAGGCTCTGCTGCCCTTTGCAGTTCTCTGACACACACATCTCTCTCAGGGAGATGAGGGGTGTGATAGTGCCTGGGCTGGAGCAGTCACGTAGTAAGCGCTCAGTAAATGGTAGTTTGCCCTGAGTCTACTGAAACATTCTAGTCACTCCTGAACTTTTAAGAGCAAGCTTTCCTTATACAGTAAAACCTGCAAAAGCCAGAACTTGTGTAAGGCAGAAACCTGTCAGAGAAGGGAAACTCAGATATTTTCCACTAAAATGAGTGATAGAGCAGTAAGACTGTACACTATCAAAGACGGAAAGCTTGTGAGACCTGGAAAACCAAGGCAGTCCTGTCGAATTCTGGCTCTCACAGGTTTCACTGTATACACCTGCTCAGAGTATCCATGTCAGGGCCCTCCTTCCCTCCCCAGGTCCCAGCTGGCAGACGATCCGACCCACGAGCAGAGGTTGAGCCCTTCTTCCCCACAGCCCCATCCAACCAGAGGGTAGCCCAGCCTCAGACTGCTCTGCGACAGAGTGGGCTGCTTGTCTCAGAGGGAGCGGAGCAGCAGTGAATGCGTTGTTTCTGACGGGGAGATTTATTTATTTTAAAAGAAACAGGCAAATTGAAAACAAAAACTTAAATGCCAAATTGGAAGGTAACACGTTCCAATTTGTCCCTGGAATCCATTTTGTTCAGGTAGGACTTCCCACCTTTGTTGTTTATTTTTTTCCCTAAGGAGGTACCAGATGTTTCCATGGTATTTGCAGTTGTTTTATTGTATTCCTGTTGTACTTCATAAAAGTGATACTGACAAAGCAAGTTGTGTAGCAGCTAAAACGAAATGGTGTAAACAGAAAATAATATTAAATTTCTTTTTATGTTTTTTTTTTCCCCTGGGAACTTTAAAAATATGCATTATACCTGAAGGTGCTCGCTCTCTAAGGCTTCACTTTTGTTTCTTCTTGTATTTCAGATAATAGGACGTATCACTTTCAAGCAGAAGATGAGCAGGATTATGTAGCGTAAGTAGTTTTGAAATAATGGCCTGATGCCTTGAATGGGAAAAGCACCTCTCTCTGGTCCAACATACCTTAGACTTCTCTTTTTGTTACTAAGAACGACCACGGGTGTTCCGCATGCTCCTTCTCATCTTTGAGCTGTCACACATTGCTCTTCTCTGCCCAGAATATTCTCTCTTGTCTATGCAGTAAACCTCAGTGCTTCCTTCACGATTCTGCTCAAGCCTCACACCCCTGAAGCTGGAGTTATTGCTCCCCTCTCTTGGCTCTGAAGCCTCTTCACACTCCTCTGTGATTCTCTACTACATGTCTAGAGAGCAAGAGTTTCTTGAGGGCAAGATCCGTGCTATACTCAGCTTTGTAATCACCGCTGGCCTCACGTAGGAGGGGCTTACTCAGTGTTTTGTAGCCATATACATGAAGCAGTCTACCTGAGTACTTGGTTGTTACTGTGAGAGGGGAGTCCCTGGGTGGCCCAGACAGTTAACATGCTCAGCTGCTAATCAAAACATTGGAGGTTCAAGTCTACCTAGAGGCACCTTGGAGAAAAGGCCTAGCAATCTACTTCTGAACAATTGGCCGTTGAAGAGTTTATAGAGCACGGTTCTACTCTGATACACATGGAGTCACTGTGAGTCAGAATTCACTCAACAGCAACTGCTTATTGCGAGAGGAATAATAGAGCTTGGCCTCTAAGTGAGAATATTGGCAAATACCTTTCACTGGGGCAAACATGGCTCAGTTATAGGGACCTAGGTGTAATGGGAAGAACTAGATTTGGTGTCACACACACCGTGATTTGAAGCCTGGTGCTCACCTGCCCGGGTACGCAACCTTATGCAGCCCTCCCCCCTCCCCTGCCTCTTTTTTGAACATTCTCCCTGGTCCTGGGCTATCTCTATTCCCTCTTCCTTGCTGCAGCCTGCCAGGACTAAGACAGTATGTGGGTATTACATCTATTTCGAAATACAGCCATGTCATTCTAACAAATTTGAATTATTTCCTCCTTTAAATTGTATTTTCTGATTATCACGAGAAACCTATAAAGGCCGTTTCTTTGTTGTGAGCTCTTGAGTAAAGAGGCAAGTGTGGTATAATGGGAGGAACCCTGCAAAGGGCATCAACAGAAGTTCCACAGAAGTCTTTTTCACCCCAGCTCTGACACCAGTCCAGGTATAGGAACTTGGGCAAGTCATTTAAGCTCTCTGAGCTTCAGTTTCCTCAACTCTAAAGTATTTTAAATGTCACTTTAGAGGCTTGTGGGAGAATTGTATCTCAGAAATTGTAAATACTTGGCACATAGGAGAACCTGGTTGTTGTTGGTGGTGGTGTTATGTGTCCTCACATTGATTTCAGTATTAGAGAGTCAAAATGTCATAATACCTGAGGAGAGCAGAGACTCTGGTCAAAGTGACAAACAGTAACATCCATGTCACTGATCAGAACGCCCGGCGATCTGCTCGGTGATCAATCCTGTTGAACCTCTGAGTTTCTTGAATGTTTTACTCAGTTTCCAACTTGAGTTGGAATGATAGAGAAATATCATTTGCTTTAAAAGTTATTAAAACCCCCACTTGTAAACTGTTGGTTTTGAAGCCTTGCATCTTCTGCGTTCCAAAGTAGCAAAGTTGTGCAAATACATTCTCACAACCTACTGGAGGTGAGCGCCACCTAGAGTCAAAGGTGTGACTTTCAGTTAATGTACTCCAAGGAGTGGATTTGGTTTTCAGTTCTCATTGCTGTCACTATTTCTTATTCAAAATCGTCTGTAGGTAGTGCTTTGTTTTACATCCATTTTATCTTACAAAGCACCATTAGTATAAAGACTCGGTTCAGAAAGTCTGTGCTGTCTGTTGATAGTCAAATTAGCTGTCTAAGATATATGCAGTAGATCAGAACAAAGGACGGTTTGGAAATACCTGTTCATTTTCTTTTTTTTTTTTTTTTTTTTTTCATTCATTAAAGTAATACAAGCTCATTATAGATTTGGAAAATTACAGAAAGGCACAGAGTCAAGCAATCCATCCATCAGTTTTTTCCTACAGAAATTTGCTCAGAAACAGTATTTTAACATTTTGGTAAATTTGCTTCTAGCCTTCTTTTGTTCCCCAGACAAATACGCATAATACATACATAAATTTGTCTGTATCATATAACAGTTTTATTTTCCTGTTTATTTCACAAAACATTACTTGGTGAGCATTTCTTCAACATTACCTAAGAATTATTAGAAAATTTAAATTTTAATGACTTTAAATATTCCACATTATGGTCGTTTCATGCTTTATTAATCAGCCCCCTATTGTTGAGTATCTAGGTTGCCTTAAGCAGAGGTTGGTGGCAAAGGGTTGTTTCGTTTTGGTGTACAGTGTGGTCACAACGTGTATATAATTTAATAGCTTGCACTTTTTATTTCATAGTATAAATACCACCATGTTTCCCCATGAATATGCCTTTTTCATAAGCATACATTTTTTTTATGACTACTAATAAAGTATCCCTTTGTTTTCACTTTCTGAGTTCCTCCACAGATGTGGAGTTCCAGGGGACAGATGCCTTTTGCTAAATTTTCTTTTTTGTCTTCTCTCCATTTCTCACCATTTCTCATCCTTGTGTCAGATGGGATGGTTTTGACCCTCGCTGAGCCCTCTTCATTCTGACATTTCCTGTGCCTTTCAAATGGCCATGCGACACCTTGTGTGAGTGCAAGTCCCCGGTGACAGAGGTGCTGGCCTCTCCCATCTGCTCGCTCTCAGCACTCTCACTTTCTCCTGTGGCTGGCTTTCCACTCTCCACCGCTGTCTCTTTCCTTCAGCTTTGATGTCTTTCAGTTTTTCCTCACTTTTTTTTTTTTTTTTTTTTTCTCTTTTGGAAGTTCTTCATGAAAGCAGATTTTTTTGTAGTGGAGAGAGAAAACAGTGGTCATGCTACTAATAAAGGCCTCCTTCCACTTGTCTTTCTGACGACAGATGGATATCAGTCTTGACGAATAGCAAAGAGGAGGCGCTAACCATGGCCTTCCGTGGAGAGCAGAGCACAGGGGAGAACAGCCTGGAAGATCTGACAAAAGCCATCATTGAGGACGTCCAGCGGCTCCCTGGCAATGACGTCTGCTGCGACTGTGGCTCATCAGGTATTTGTCCCCAAGCTTGAGCTGGCTTGTTAAACTTCCTTTCTCTTCCTGTAGAATATGGCTAAGTTGGTTGTTTAAAAAGCTTACTTCGTTATGAGCCTACTGAGGGACACGGACAGCCCGTGTTCCTACTCTGAATATCCCCTCTGAGTGTCTTTTCCCACACTGTTTGCTCCACCTGGAAAGCTTCATCTCCTCTCCCTAAATGCTCACCTGCCAAAATGCTACCTCTCCTGTAAGGCCCAGTTCAATAAGTACCATGGGCGTTGTGGAAAATATACAAGATGTGGAGTCCAGCATTCTAGTTTTGAATCACAAGTCTGCCTCTCACAAGCGGGGCCATCCCATGCCCAGTCCCTTTACTATTCTGATCATCAGTTTCCTCATCCTAAAAATGGGATCATAAACTTCACTTAACTGTTATGAGGACTTAATGAGATGTGTATATGAAATTGGCTGGCATGTGGTATGTTACTTTCCTTCCTTTCTGCTTAGTGAAACCCTCCCCAACCTGTATACAACACTGATGGCACTTGTCCCAAACATCCTTTCTCAAAGAGTATGTTATATTGCCTAGGTATGGACAGGAGCCCTGGTGGCACAAGGGTTAAGAGCTCTGCTGCTAACCGAAAGGTCAGCAGTTCAAATCCACTAGCTGCTCCTTGGAAATCCTACAGGGTAGTTCTTCCCTGTCCTGTAGGGTCGCTGTGAGTCAGAATCAACTCAACAGCAACGGGTTTGACCTTTTTTTTTTAGGTATTGACAGTAGCTAACATTTATTGAGTGTTTACACTGTTCTGCGGATTATGCAGATGGCGCAGGACCGGGCAGTGTTTCGTTCTCTCGTAGGTGGGGTTACTATGAGTCGAAACTGACTCAATGGCAACTAACAACAACAGGGATTATGCTAGTGTTTTGCTTGTATCGTGTTATCGAATCCTCACAGAAGTTCTGTGAGCAGATTACTAATATTATCCTCATTTTACAAATGAGGAAACTGGGGCTCAGAGAAGTTAAGTGATTCACCTGAGGTCACAAAGCTAGTTGTTATGTTGTTGTTGGGTGCCGTTGAGTCGGTTCCGACTCATACCAACCCTTGTGTACAACAGAATGAAACACTGACCAGTCCTTCACCGTCTTCGTGGTCATTGCTATGTTTGAGCCACACACAGCTAGTAAGGGTGAGAAAACCCATTAAAACCCATAACCCCGTATGTTACAGAGTAGGAAACTGCTCCATAGGATTTTCTTTACTGTTGTCGTTATGGAAGCAGACCGCCAGGCCTTTTTTCCATGGCACCACTGGGTGGGTTTGAACTACCAACCTTTTAGGTTAGTAGTCGAGAGCAAACCATTGTGACATCTAGGGACAAAGGCAGGGATGCAAATCTAGGATTCATTAGCATTACAGGAGACTTTCTTATTGTTTTACTTGCAGAACTGGACCGTATTACACAAACTTCCGTAAGCGTCTCAGAGACAAGTCTCATGTTTTCTACCGTTTCCACATACACATGTGATAGTGACTCACACAGTGTGAGGATGTGGGAAGGGAGTAGGAAATACTCAGGTATTGACCAGTCAAAAAGAAAGTTGACACAGAGAGCCCTAAAGATTTTGGTGACATAGAAATAATTGTTCCCACTGTTCTGGGGCTCGATGGGGTTATAAAAAAAGCCTTGGGTCTCTGAAACATTTAGTGTGCAATCTTTACAGCTGTTGTATTACCAAGAGGCACTTTGTGGAGCAGCCATGACCAAGAATGATGGGTTAATGTGAGTTGTAGCTTGGAGGTTAATGATAGCTGCAGAATCCAGTCCCTTGTGAGAGGCACTTAGCGGCCTCAATCCATCACTGTGGGAGATGAGGGAACACCACTCTCGAGTCCTAAAGCTGTGTAGAAAAGTCTTTCTCACATTTGTTTGCACAAAGATAAAGCACTTAATTTTGTTTTCATTTTAATATTAAAGGAAAATTTTTTAAAAATTGTCTTACCAGACTTTTTGCTTTATTTCAACCTCTTAATTTTCGTATTAGCCCTTTGGACTAAACCACAAGCATCCATTTTTTCCCTTTAAATCTTTACCTCATAATTCTTAACAAATTTTACTGCTACTGTATTAGCTTCTTCCGTAGTTGGCACACTTAAATTAGATATCTTGTTTGCTTCACTGTCTTCAAAATTCTTTCCACAGAACCTACCTGGCTTTCAACCAACTTGGGTATTTTGACCTGTATAGAATGTTCCGGCATCCATAGGGAAATGGGGGTTCATATTTCTCGCATTCAGTCTTTGGAACTAGACAAATTAGGAACTTCTGAACTCTTGGTAAGTAATTACCAGTACTTTGAAATAAATTTGTTTATTGTCTTGAATATATTTACTATATTGCTTCCTTTTGTTTGTTTCTGCTGAATGCAAAGAATTCTAATTTCTGAATTTAGTTAATTTGCATATAGATTTAAAATGTAACTTTTGTGATATGTAGTTGACTATTTCTGTTCCCTGTTTGAAGAAATGTTGAAGCATAAATTTCTATAATTAGCGAGTCAAAAAATTGGCTCAGCTCACCTGTTTCTTTTCTTCTGGGGTGAACTTCTTCAAAGCTGCTTTTTCCTTTAGGAATTAATTTTTATATTATTCACTGTAATAGCAGTAAAGGGGATTGGGGCTGAACTCATATATTCACTTTACCTAGTGGCTTATATTATTAAAACTAATGACTGAAGAGTTTTCCTCAATTTTACTTTACTGCTTGCAAGTTTGTAAAAGTGCACATGAGTTGGGAGTGGCCTGTTAGCTATTGTCGTAAAGCTCCCCAGTAACCAGTTCCCGTCTAGTTGATTTTGACTTATGGTGACCCCACGTGTGTCATAGTAGAACTGTGCTCCATAAAGTTTTCAATGCTGATTTTTTGGAAGTTGATTGCCAGGCTTTTCTTCCAAGGTGCCTCTGGATAGACTCAAACTTCCGACCTTTCGTTTAGTAGAGTAGCCAAGCATGCTAACCGTTAGCAGCACCCAGGGACTCCGTCATAAAACCATTTACTCCTTAACCTGTAACTTCTGTAGATAATAAGAGAAAAAAAATGTGTGAAGTTGTGGTGCTTAGCATTATAATATAGAAAAGAGTTATAAAACTTAAACTTGATTTATCCAAATTTGGAGCCTTCCTTAGATCCAAGTTAAATTGTTACCTGCAGTACACCAAATAAAAGAAGGGAAGGCCCACTTGTCATCCCCCATGATGTCTGTGGTCATAAGCCCTGTCTTGCATAATTTTAACCCAGTGCACTGTGAGAGTCTTTAATACTAGGGTAAAGTTTTCTTGAAGTAAAACAAGGCTCCTCAGACAAGACTTTAAAGCAGAACCTGGGTGAGCCTGGAGCTCAAATAGCTGGATATCTAGTTTATCACTCACTTAACCTTATCCAGAGAAAGGGACCCCGAAGTCAGAGCACTTGATCATCTGACTAGCAGCCTTTGTCGTCTGAACATCCAACAAGCACTGGTGATCTGTCTTGTATTGTATGAACTGCTTTATTTAGGAAGTAGGAGATTCGTGTGCTGGTAATAGCTCCCTAGTTCACTTTTCAGGACTCTGCAGGGAAAGCTCAGACCCATTACCTGAAATGGTATCACTCCATCTCCTGTGTCACATGCCACAAACAGCGTTACTTGAATCATTGAAACCCAGTGTAACAACTAGAAATAGAGAGAGTCCAAATCCTAAACATCTGATGTGGAATAAACCTAAGATTTTCCCCTAAAGACCTGGTTGCATGAATGTTTCTCAAACTTTGCAGATTTGTCCCAAGATTATCTGAGTGACCAACCGAACCTTCAGGATGAATTTTCTTGGGAGGGTCATTTGAACCCAGAAGCAAAATGCTTGCTGCGGCCTCCTCCGTTCGTTGCTGCAGCATCTTAATTTGTACCTTAAACATAAAGGAATCTTACTTCTTTTCTGTCCACTAGGAGTCAGTCCGACATGATAGTGGTTTAAAAGCTGTTGCCATTAATAAAGCTTTTCACCTGAATTCACATATGGAACTGCTCCATTTTAGAGAGTGAGACCCAGATGGTTTGTGTGTGGGGGACCATATTCTATTCTGTTCTAGCATTTATTGCGTTATATTTTTAAAATTTGTTGATTTTCTTGTCCGTGGTCCCTGCTAGCCCCATGAGCTCCTAGGGAGGGGAACATGGTTTTCCAGCACTTAGAGGTTCACTGCCTGGCACGTAGTAGGTGCTCAGTAAATATTTGTTGACCAGATGGATGGATGGTTTGTATTCTGAGTCAAGTGAGGGAAAATACTTACTCAGAAATCTCAAAAGCAAATAATTGGACATTTTTAAACTAGTTGTAAAGAGTTTTCCGTATTGTGTTTTGTTTATGTTACAGCTGGCCAAGAACGTAGGAAACAATAGTTTTAATGATATTATGGAAGCAAACTTACCCAGCCCCTCACCAAAGCCCACCCCTTCAAGTGATATGTAAGTACTTCTAATATACTGAATTCTCTCCCATTCTGTCGCTGTTTTCATACCCTCTTAAAAACAGTTCTTAGTGGTTATAGTATTTTTTTTCACAGCAGAAACCCCATGATCTGGAAAAGGCAGAGCAAAGAAAAATATTTTGAAATGTATTTCTGGGTCACATAGATTATTTCCATCATCATCTTCTCCTACGTGGTTGCAGCTGAGCACCTGCTCCATGGCGGCCAGGTCTTCACGAGGATGGTTATTTCTAAATCATGGTGCATGTTGTGATAAATAAGAGACACACAGAGGCAACGGGAGATTCCTATCACACTGGCAAAAATCCATCTGCTTAACAACCCACTCAGCAAGCATGTGTGGAAAGAGACGTTCTCATATGTTGCTGGCGGGAGTACAAAATGGTATACTCCCCTTGAAGGGCAAAGTGGCCACATTTATCAAAATTATAAATTTATTTACCCTTTGACTTAGCAATCCCACATTGCAAAATGTATTCCTATACTGTAATAGAAAAGAATTAGAAACAAAGCAGTGTTCATCTATAGGCGTTTGATTAGATATTCTGTGGTATGGCCATACAATGGAACACTACAGATATAGAGAAGAATAAAGAAGTTTTCATGTTCTGATCTGAGACGATCTCCAGGATATACTGTTAAGTTAAAAAGAGCAAGATGCAGAACACTGTGCAAAGGGTGCTGCCTTTGAGGGAGGGTAGTGGGGTATCCCTCTCTATCCAGACTCACTGTCCAACCTCTGGCACTGAATTTTGGCTAACTGTGCTGACAAATCCCTCACTTTTCAACTCTTAACTATTGCTATCTGAACTCAGACGAAATAGATTTGGATAGTGAAGACTACATAAACATCTAGTTTTATTTGAACTTGTGTTTGCTTGAAGAAACACTGAAAAAATTCACAGGAACCTGATAAAAGTGCTTGCTCTGGAGCACAGGTGGGCATGAGACTTCTTAATGAACACTTTTTTATATCATTTTTATTTTTCAGCCATGTGAATCTATTCAAAAAATTTTAATTGAGTTTGCATTAAAAAAATTTAAAATGCTTTGGTTGAATAGGAGGAAGGAAATTAATTCCATCTCTAGTGATCCGAGAAGGCTTTGGAAAGGAGGAAGGCTGTGAAGTCTTCCAGCCTAAATGTTTTCCCAGTTTACTGTATAGAAACACTTGTCTAAAATTGACCTCCCTGCAACTTTCCACCATTGATCCTAGTTCTACTGTCTTGGATAACAGCAGAAAGGAAGCTCTCAGATGAACTCATAATTCATACCTATATTCTTTCTTCCCTAGAAGGTAGTCAGTAAGGCAGGTATGATTACTAGCATTTTATAGATGAGGAAACTGAGGCTCAGAGAGAACTTGATTTGCGCAGGGTTCACGTAGATAGTAAGAGGGATCAGACTTGAATCGGTCGTTTAATTCTTAAGCCTGGTTCTCCATCCATCACACAGTCATCGCCTCTCAGACTTCACATCAGTCACACGAAGCAAGAGACTCAGAAGCCAGGCTTAGACCACCCTTTCAGCTATCTGGAAATGTCTTCCAGTTCAGCAGGCTGTGGCCATCCTAAACAGACTTTGACCTGAGCATAAAGAAAGCCCATGAGTGTAAGATCTTGATTACATAGCAGAGTCAGCAATGACTGCACCCAGCCAGTAGGTTGGAAAGAAACCAAAGGCTATGTGCCACCATCAACCAGCTCAATCCATTTTACTGCCAGCCCCAAGTGAAAGAAAAAGGCACCTGTGCAGTTTATAACAGTGCTGCCTGGCTGGGAGATATGGGAAATAGTAGCAGCTACTGCAGATGGAATGGCTGTTTCTGAGCAAGAAATTTATGTCCCTCAGGTTAGCCTTCTTTAATTCAGAATGTTCAATGAGATGTTATCCCCATTTTCAGATGAAAAAACTGAGGCTCATGAAATTAAGTGATCTGCCCAAGGTCACACAAAGGGCGTGCCATAGAACTAGGATGTGAGCCCACAGTCCGTTCACTTTATTTATTGGGTCATATAACTGGGAAATTCAAGGGGTGAGTTCAGGCACAGGTGGATCCAGGATGTCAGTATCATCAGGACCCTCCTTTCTCTCCCTGTCTCCTGTTTCTGCTTTCCTCTGAACCGGCTTCCGTTGCAGCTTTTCCCCAAAGGTGGCAGAGGTAACCATGGTCCAGTTAGGTCATATGTTCACCCGTGTGGGTGGGAGACAGGCTTAGTTCCACCAGAACCGCTTGGAAGGTGGAAAGGAGGTGGTTCCTCCAAGGAGAAGAGGAGAACTGTACCCACCATCTCAGACTTTGAGTACGGGGTCTGCGGCGTCTCCTGCTCCAGGCAGCCCGCTGCAGGACAGGCGGCTGCTCTTTGTCCCTCTGGAGATTATGCTCAGCGTAGGAGCCTCAGTCTCCTCACCTAAAAAAGAGAGTTGTATCAGATGACTAAGATCCTTTCCAGGACGCTCTGAGAACTCTTCATTGGTCTTTTAGAATTTTTTCTTCATTTTTTGAATTTAATTTCTTCGTACACTTAAACATGTATCTGAGTTTGAAGTAGCAGTTTATAGCACATTTATCATGCTTCTGCTCAAGATGGAAAAGAAGTCTGTGATCTGCGTGCCCACTGATTTCTTAACTACATGTTACATGTACTTGTTGATAAATATACATCAGCTGCTTCATTCTGTCTATTGTAGTAACTTGGTCTAAAACCCAGTTTGTTTGAATGTTGAGAAGAGGTGTGTCTTAATTAAAACAACTCTTTTCAAAGAATAATGTTTGTCAGAAATAAGGCAACCCCTTCTTAGCTCTTGGAAAATAAGAACCCTTCACTCACTCTTTGTTCTGTTCCAGGACTGCACGGAAAGAATATATCACTGCAAAGTATGTAGATCATAGGTTCTCAAGGAAGACCTGCTCTTCTTCATCAGCTAAACTCAATGAGTTGCTTGAGGCCATCAAATCCAGGGATTTACTTGCACTAATTCAAGTCTATGCAGAGGGGGTCGAGCTCATGGAACCCCTCCTGGAACCTGGGCAGGTAAGATCTCACTGAAATCAGAGGACAAAAGTAATGTGGAAAATCAAGTTAAAAGATGACTTATTTTATTGATAACATCATATAATGAGACCCTTGTACATTAGGTGGCCGTGTCTAAATCAGGACGACTTGAGAGTGAAAAGGGCGTGCTATTAATAATTATTTTGGGGCACCTGATGTAAACAAGTCTGCTCTAGGCAAACTAGGACATACGATCACCTTGATCACATTTACCCTTTCTTTTTTCTTTTTTAGGAGATAGGGGAAACAGCCCTTCATCTTGCAGTCCGAACTGCAGACCAGACATCTCTCCATTTGGTTGACTTCCTTGTACAAAACTGGTATGGTTTTTGTTTTCTCTGTTGTGTTTCCTGAATATACCTTATAAGTTAATACAAGCCAGTGCTACCGGTGGCCTAGATCAGGAATTGGTAAACTTTTTCTTTGAAGAGCTAGATAGTAAATATTTTAGGCTTTGCAGGCTATGTGGTCTCTGTTGCAACTATTCAAATGTGTGTTGTACTATGAAATCAGCCATAGACAGTGTATAAACAAATGAGCATGGCTGTGTTCCAATAATACTTTATCTACAAAAACTGGCAGCGGGCCAACCCCTGGTTAAATGTAAAATCCTGTCTTTGTGTCCGAAAACCTGCTGCACTAGGAAAGGTTGAAAGAAGACTTAACAACACAAGTTACCCAGATCCGTGGATTTTCGTTGTTATGTAAGTTCAGATAAGTCAGCAGAATGTGTGGCTGGCCCAATAGTTAATTCAAATTTGGGACAGGCTAATAGGAGTACAATAAGAACAAAGGAGATTTGGCTGCTGGACTCCATTGGGTAGTTTTGTATGCCACAGATTATGAGGAGGCCCTGCAGCTCACCCAAAGGAGAGTGATCAGAATAGTGGGGATTTGAACCCATGCAAGAGTGGTCTTTCATTGTAGATGTTTACTCTGGAGAAGAGAAGACTTAGAGGGGACTTTTAAAATGCTCTCACATATTCAAGAAAGACACTTTTCGTGGAGCTCCCAAAGGCAGAAAGAGAGTGAATAATGGGTAAGAGTCAGAGAAAGGCAGCTTGAGACTCAAAACTAGGAAGAGGTTATTTGTCATTGGAATTGCCTGAAACATAAATGGCTTGCCCTGGGAATTGCAAAGTGGAGTTCTTTTACTCCATTTGGAAAGGAAATTAGTGTATTGCTGATATTTTATATCAAGAAGATCTTAGTTTTTACAGTGGGAGTTTAAGATTGTTTGAAAATCATAAATATTCTAAGGATGCTACTTAAAAGAGTTCCATGATAAAACTCTTGATAAGATGAATAACTATATATTTGCGTAGTTTTTCTTAATTATCAAAGTTTGTAGAAAATCTGCAAAGTAGTAAGAAGTGTTCAGAATCAGGTTAAAAAAAAAATCATGTATTTCCCTACCAGCCCTGTTAACATTTTGGCACATTGCTTTTTTTCCTCTCTATATGTTGCATTTGCGTAAAACAAGGTGATCTGTATTCATATCTAGTCTTGAGAAAAAATGCTATATGTATTCTCTACATTAAATACTTTCAGATATACAAGGCAAACCCACTCAAGCATGCAACAGAAAATTTTCAGGATGTGAAGCCATTTATATGTAGATAGATAGAGAGATAGATAGAGAGATTAGATAGATAGATTAGCTAGATAGATAGATGATAGATAGATAAAGCCAGTGCTAAACTGAATGGATTGCTTGAGGCCTTGTGTGTGTGTGTGTGTATGTGTGTGTGTGTGTGTGTGTGTGTGTGTGTGTGTGTAATAAAGACCTTGAAGAAAGTGCTTTAAAAATTTTAAACCATTTTACAAGTATATGCTTAATAATTAGGATGGTGGTGATGAAAGAGTACTCAGTTTTGAAATGTAAACAACTGGTTAGTTGGTAAGGCAAAGAAAAGGTTACAGCTTAAAAATGATAAAATGTCAAATTAACATGATAAAACCCTTAAAAATCATATAGCTGGAGGGAGGGAGGAATAGGTAAAGCACGGGGCATTTAAAGAGCAGTAAAACTATTCTTCATGATATGAATGGTGGACACATGACATTATGCATTTGTCAGAACACATAGGGCTTAGAACTCCCATATGACCCAGCAATTCCAGTTCTAGGTATATACCCAAAAGCCTTGAAAGCAGAGACTCAAACAGAGACTTGTATATCAGTACTCATTGCAGCACTATTCACAATAGCCAAAAGGTGGAAACAACTTAAATGCCTATCAGCAGACGAATGGATAAACAAAATGTGGTCCATACATACAGTGGAATACTACTCAGCCAGTAGGAGAAATGAAATCTTGATACATGTTACAGTACGGATGGAGGTGGAAGACATTATGCTGAGTGAAATAAGTCGATCACAAAAGGACAAACATTGTATGATCTCACTTACATAAAAAGACAAGAAAAGGCAAATGTATAAAGAACAAAGCTTATTAGTGGTTACAAGGGGCAGGAGGGAGGAGAAAAAGCGGGGGGGGGATGTTAGCAGTGATGGAAAAATCACATTGATTAAGGATTGGGTTGCTCAACCAGTTATTGTAATTGCTGTCAGTAAGTTCTACACCTGTAAAAAGTTGAATTGGCAAAAGTTGTACATAGACATATTTACAACAACAACAAAAAATAGTAGCTGTTGATACTGCTTATATACAACCAAAAACCTCATGGGATTTGGTTTGGAGGTTTGGGGTCATGATTTCATGAGATATTCCAGTTAATTGGCCTAATAAAGTGTTTAGCGCTTCTGTTCTACCTCCTAGTTTGATGTGTAATGCCTGGGGTGTTAAAAGCTTGCAAGCGACCATCTAAGGCACAACAATTGGTCTCTGTTCACCTGGAGTAACAGAGAAAGAAGGAGAGCCAGGAATAGGAGGAGGATCTAGAATGTGTGGCTAATGGCCTTCATGAACAACTGCCTCCTTTCCCATGAGACCAGAAAAACTAGATGGTGCCCAGCTACCATTACTGACCATTTTGATCAAAGATTCCATAGAAGAGTCTTGATCAAAAAGGGGAATATGCAGAACAGAATTTCAAATTCTCATGGACTCTGGACTTCCTGGAGTTATGAAGTTTGGATGAGCCCCTGAAACTATTATTTGGAGATCATCTTTAAACCTTAAACCAAAAATATCCCCTGAAGTCTTCTTAAAACCAAACCATAGTTTAGCTTAACTAGTGAAAAAGATCTGCCTCGAGCATTATGCTCTTTAAGAACTATCAACATGATATCAGATTGACAACAGCAACTCCAGAGATTCGGTAGGAAACTTGGGGGCTTGGGGGGACAGTGAATTTATGTTAATGTGGAAGGAACAACTCAGAAAAGGAGGATGAGAATGGTTACACAACTGGAAGAATATATCAGATTCATTAAATGGTACGTGTAGAAACAAATTGGCGTATGTTTTGCTGTGTGTATTCTCAACAACAACAACAGAATGAATAAAATTATTTTAAAAAAAACACATAGAGCTGTACAAGAGTGAACCCTAATGTAAACTGTGGACTTCAGTTAATGATAATGTATCAGTATTAGTTCATCAGTTGTGAGCAGCATACCATCGGAATGCAAGATGTTAGCAATAGGAGAAACAGTGCAGGGGGAAAGAGGGTATATGGGAATTTATTTTCTCTTCAATTCTTCTGTAAACTTAATACTGCTATAAAAATTACAGCCTATTAAAAAAATCATACAGATGAATACCAGAAATGTAAAGCTGTATTGCTTACCTTGTGAGGTGACCCAGAATTTGGGGTTACAGTAGTCCAGAAAGTATTTTTTTGACTCTAATTTTCTGAGAGGACAGGTTAACTGTATAGGAAGGTTAGGAATTACTGTGTTAATGTCTGCTGTGATTTGAATACCAGAATTCTATGTCTATTTTAAGAACTTAGAACATAGCAAGCAGAGCCCATGACACACAGATGTAGGGTGGTTGTAAAGACTACATGAGCTAATACAGGTAAAAGCTAAGAGACAGCGTCTATCCCATAGTAAGCACTCAGTAAATGCTGATTATTATCATTATAAGGAGCCCTGGTGGTGCAGTGGTTAAGGACTAGACTGCTAACCGAAAGGTCGGCGGTTCGAACCCACCATCCACTTTGGAAACCTATGGGGCAGTTTTACTCTGTGTCCTGTGGGTTTGCTAGGAGTCAGAACTGGCTCAACAGTAATGGGTTTGGGTTTTTGGCATTATCATTATATTGCTTGCAAGTTTAGATGTAATCTTAGAAACATCACAATTTTAATAATAAATAGTTCTCAAATTTGACTTATTTAGTAGTACAGAAATGAGTAGGTAAGCTGTAGTTTTAATTTTTAGCGTAATTTTTTTCTAATAATAATGTAATCTTTCAGTGGGAACCTGGATAAGCAGACTGCCCTGGGGAATACAGTTCTGCACTACTGTAGTATGTACGGGAAACCCGAGTGTCTGAAGCTGCTTCTCAGGAGCAAGCCCACTGTGGATATTGGTAAGTGTGGCCGGATGTCTCTCAGTGACCATAGTCAGATCGTTTGGGCTGATAAAACCAAGACGTGTGTATCACACTGTAATTGGATTATCATTCCTTGCCTTTTCAAGACACATATCCTAGATAATTACCTTATGCAAATTTATCTTTCCCCTGTTTCAGTCAACCAGGCTGGAGAAACTGCCCTGGACATAGCAAAGAGACTAAAAGCTACTCAGTGTGAAGATCTGGTAAGAAAAATGGGAGTAGAAGAGTCATTGTACATGAAACACCTTAAAATGTCATTCTGAGAAACTGCAGCTGGACATAAAAGAAGCAGACTGGTTTTTTGAACACTGACTAAAGAAATTCAGACAAGCACTAGGACTGCATTTGAAAAACGATAGATTTGTTGTTCACATGTCTTTGGAGTGCAGGTTTCACGGAGGAGCTAAAAGGCATTTATTTTGAGAGAGGTTGTTACCAGACAGGCTCGTGGATTGAGGTCATGCTTTTTATTCACCACACCACGGGCCTTTGTCTGTAACTTAACAGCAAAGAATTATTTGGGAAGGCAGTTCCAAAGAGTGGGCCAGTAAAGTTCAGAGTGTGATGCTTTCCAGAATGTTAAAGGCACTGCTCCTCCACCCTCTACACACACACACCCCTTTTTCTGACCCAAATAGTTCTTGCTTATGGGAGTCGCTGGGTGATACAAATGGTTAAGTGTGCGGCTGCTAACTGAAAGGTTGGCGGTTCACACCCACCACCCAGAGGCACCTCGGAAGAAAGGCCTGCCTAACTGCTTCTGAAAGGTCTCAGTCATGAAAACCCTACAGAGCACAGCTGTGCTGTGACACTCTTGAGGTCGCCAAGAGTCAGAGTTGACTCAGCAACAACTGAGAAAGCTGGTGGTTCTTCCTCATCACTCCGGGCCTTAGCTTAGCGTGATTCTCTCAGCCACAGGAGGGGGTGAGGCAGGAAGGAGAGGTGACGGTCCTCGGGTTTCTGCTGGGTGCCAAGTTCCACGCCTGGCGCTTTTCTTTTTTATTCTGGCAGCAGTCCTTTGAGGTGGTTGTCCCTGCCTCTATTTTACAAATAAGAAAAGTGGGCTATGGATTGAGCTGTGACTCTCCGAGTCAAAAGGCCTCTCTCTTACACGTCACCGGTACTGATTTTACCTTCCAGCCAGGAATTTGCAGTTTTATGATTCGTTTTAATAATATTAAGAAGCTTTTCATTTTAGAGAGAAATTATCAAAATAAAGGAGACTGTATCTGTAATTCTTTGTGAATCCTCAGAAGCCTGTCTTGGGGTAATCCTGCTGTATAGTCTGAGTTTTGCCTACAGTACAATTACTGATGATTAATTTGAAACCAGGAATAAGTGGTATTTGCTCAGTGTCCGTATCATGTCGAGGTGTTTTGATGTTGAAATTAAAATTGTGCACACCTGCTGTACTTCCAGCTCTCCCAGGCTAAATCCGGAAAGTTCAATCCACATGTCCACGTAGAATACGAGTGGAATCTTCGACAGGAGGAGATGGATGAGAGCGATGATGATCTGGATGACAAAGTGAGTGTTTCTGAGGATTTCTGGTTTCCTACACTGTATAGAAAAGGTGCGTTCTTTGTGAGACTTACCAGGGCTACTGTCTTTGCTCAGCCTTTGATCCTCGTTGAGCAGAGTTTACCACCTCAGAGTTAATCAATAGGAGAAATAATAAGTTGCCCTTTACTGGGTACTTAAATATGTAGTAGGCAGTGTTAAGCACTTTACATATGTTATCTCAGAGGCATACTCGTGGATTAAACCCAGCTCTGTCTGTCTTTCTCCTAGGTAGTTCTTAATCTCTGATGGCTCATTTATCTATTCAGTGGACATGTATCGGGCATTTCCTCTATGCCAGGCAGGATGTAAGGACTGGTCATACCAAGATGTCTTAAAGGCATTCACCACTTGAAGAGAAGATAGACACAGGAGTTGATAAGTTATGAGACAGTGTGATAAGCATTATAACAGGAGTTTGGGAAAAATCCCGAGTGGCGTCCAGAGGACAGAGCAACTGCCTCCACCTTGACGAGCAAGGAAGACCTTATCAAGGAAGTAACATTTGAGATGGGTTTCTAAGGTTAGGTAGGAGCTTGCCAGGCAGAGAAGTGGGGAGGAGTGCATCATTCCAGGGAGGGAGAAGAGCATGTGCCAAGGCAAGGGGTCATGATGTGGCCTGGTATGTCTGAGAATGGTTAGAAGCCCAGTGTGTAGATGTAGTCACATGGGCTGGGGAGGGAGAGGCAGGGGCTGCCCTGTCATCAAGCAGGCCAGATGGGAAGGGCATTGCGGGCCAAGTGTGGCCCTTATCCCATGAGCAGTAAGAAGCCAACAAAGGATTATTGTCGGGAGAGCAAGGTTTCTACCAGCTCTGGCTGTCAAGTGGAGAATGGGCTAGAGTTGAAAGAAACTGGGGTGAAGGGGCCGTTTCGGAGGCTAATACATCAGTGGGCGATGGTGAGTGCCTGAACGAGGAGTGGGTTTGAGGGACGTTCGGAGGTATCCATGCAGGACGTGGTGGCTCTGGATGTGAAGGGTGAGGAAGGAGACAAGGATGACACAGGATTCTGCTTTGGAAAATTAAGTGAATGGGAATGTCATCAACCAGGAGTGCAAATACCAGAGACGCTTCATAAGCAATTGAAATGCATTTGGGATCCAGGAGGTTGGGTTTGGATTTAAAGTTTTGTGGGTCATCAGCATGTAGGTAGCTGAAGTATGAAGCCACGAGTGTAGATGAGTTTACTGAGACGAGGATGTCAAATGAAAAGAGAGTTAAGGATTGAGAACTTCAACGTTTAAGGGGGTGAGCAAGGAGGGAAGACGATGTAGTGTGTTACAGATAGATGGAAATAGCATTCAGATGTTCATGAATGAGAAGGTATTTGTTACTGTGACCTTACGCTTCTGAATGCTGCTGCTGACCCCTGACCAGTGTCTCACTGTGAGGCCCTGGCCAGAGAGGCAGAAATGGGCTGTCTTCATCCCTCCCCCGCACTGGGTCGTGGCTATCAGGCCATCGCTGTGGCTGACCTCAGAGACTACGGGACTCCAGATTACCGACCAGCTCACCCTGCAGAGGTCCCCCACAGCCCTCAACTGTGGCCCCTGGTTACTCTCTCATCCCTGTTATTTCCTCTGCCAGCCAAGCCCAGTCAAGAAGGAGCGCTCGCCGCGGCCTCAGAGTTTCTGCCACTCCTCCAGCATCTCCCCACAGGACAAGCTGGCCTTGCCGGGGCTCAGCACGCCGAGGGACAGACAGCGGCTCTCCTACAGCGCCTTCACCAACCAGATCTTTGCCTCCACAAGCACAGACTCGCCCACGTCACCGACTGGGGAGGCTCCTCCGCTGCCTCCTAGGAATGCCGGGAAAGGTATGAGCTTTGCAAAGGGCTTTGTGACTCTGTCCTCAAAGCTGGTATCTGCCCAGCTTCGAGGTGAGCGTGGCAAGACGCCTTTTGAGTGGCAGAGCATAGAATGTGATGTCATCGGCAGCTTGAAATAGGGGCCTTGCAAGCATTTGCCGAGCACCAGCAGTGGGATGGGTGCTGTTGCGGGCACTCTTTAGGCAATATCCGGTGTAAGCCGCCCAACAGTTTTATGAGGCATGTGCTTTTGTGCCCATTTTGCAGATGAGGAAACTGAGGTACAGTGACTTGCCCAAGGTCACATAGCTGCTAAGTGGCAGAATCAGGAGTCACTCCAAGGTCTGCGTAGTTCCAGAACCTATAGTCTTTCCTCTAAAGTATGGGTGGAATATTCAGTTCTTTGAAAGGTTACTTTCCTCCACACTAAATGCAGTCTATGGAAATGTTCATGGTAACAGTGGTAGATAATGGTTATGAAGCACTGGCCTTGTGAGAGGCCCTAAGCCAGACACTTCTCATGTCACAGAGTGAGGTGGGCACTACGGTCGCTGGTGTTACGCAGACCAGGGGACCATGGTGCAGCTGTGTGGTGTCATCTGCCTAAGGCTCTTGGCAACTTGGAATTCTAGTCCAGGTCCTATATGACCAGAGCCCACACTCCCATGCTGTCTGAGGACTGTCACTCCTGTGAGCCACTACCTGGGAAAGAGCTTACCCAGGGAGGCTCATCAGGCGTTTTCAGACCCCTCCGTAGGACAAGCCCCACGGGTTTATGGTCCAGCACACCATGTGTAGCCACAGAGTACCTGCTCTGTGTCCACCACCACAGAATGGGCCCTGCTCAGAAAGTCAGCTTGTTCCCACCTGGACAGGGACAGGTAGGGGCCCAGAAATGCCACCATGAAAGTGTTATCCCAGCCAGGAGAGAAATGGAGAGGTACCCAGAGCTGCAGCTCTAAGTACGGTCCTGGCCGTAAATCCCAATGCAGGATTGCCCTGGGCCCCGTGCACACCACCACAGGTTTCGAGGGCCTCTCAGTACACAATGCCAGGCCTGTTGGAATCACACTGGGGTTTTTTTTGTCTGGGAAATGTGAGCTTTATTCAAAACTGTTTTTTCAGAGCTTATTCTCTATTGAAATCAGGTTTTAAATAGAAGCTGTGTTCTTGGAGAGGCCCCAGAGGGCCTCATAGATCATAAAATAATGGAGAAAAGTTAAAGTAAGGCTTTGGCATGAACAGTACTCGCCAAAGATAAACAGTGACCCTCACAGTAATAGCCCACGTAAGCCAGAGGTTTAACCCACAAGTGTTTTTCTTACAATTCATATATGATACCAGAACATACGTACAGCATCAGAATCCTTCTTTAAGTCACTGGCTTATTAAGCTGCAGGTCTGTAGGGTAAGCATACTGTATTGCTGCTTACCTCTGGATAATGGTACTCCTCATCAGGGCAGTGATCTGGTAAGGGCAGAGATGCCCTCTGCTCCCCCAAAGGGGTCTGTGAGACACCCCCAGACCAGATAAACAATTGAAGATGCTACTCGGAAAGATTTTATAGTTGTAGCTTCCAGCATAGTAGTGACTGACCTGCCAAGTCAAGCGAGGCCTAGACCTGTTCAGAGAACCTCCGGGTAATCGAGAATCTTTAAAAGGGTCTACGGGAGCGAAGGACACCAGAGTTCTGGGGGCCAAAAGGTCCCATCACCTCGCCCCATCCCTTTCTTTCATATCATTTCAAGGGAACACAGAAACTCATAAAGTATACCACCAGATCGGGTGCCAAGCATATCCCTCCTGCCGAGAATGAATTCTAACAGGCTCTTCACCAAAGGCCCAGAAGACAAAGACCAAATTTACTTAGTGATCCAGCTGCCGAAACAAGTGCGCAGAGACTTGGCTGTGGCAGCCGTGGTCAGCTGACGACAGACTGCTGCTTAGCCTCACCCCAACCCCCTCCCCAAGAAAGTCCAAAACTGAAAACAGAATTTCTCCCTAGTAAAATCAGTGTACTTCCGGGCTGTTCGTAGCAGGAGGTCAGATTTGGAGGTTTGTCCTGTCTGCTAATGAGGCACCACCTTCTGGTGACTTTTATAAGTGACTTGAAGCATGAGATAAAAGGAACCCTCGTGGCGCAGTAGTTAAAGCGCTCAGCTGCTAACCAAAAGGTCTGTGGTTCAAAACCACCAGCCATTCCATGGGAGAAAGATGCGGCAGTCTGCTTCCATAAAGATTTACAGCCTTGGAAACCCTATGGGGCAGTTCTACCCTGTCCTATAGAGTCACTGTGAGTTGGAATCGAGTTGATAGCAGTGAGTTTGGTTTTGGTTTTCTTGAAGCATGGGATATATCCTTTAGCTAGCTTGGCTCACATAGCCTTACATTTGGAGAATTGATGATGTTTGAACAGAGGGAGTTCTTAGAAGACATTGTTGAGGATCAGCTGGTGCTCTCTGTACAGAGAGAATTTGCCTCTGTTTTGCACCCCTACATTTTTTTCACTTCATTCTTGTTGAACTGGTAGAACACTTGCATGAAAACAAGGATGTCTTGAATCTGTATTTGGGTTGCCCGTTCTCCACGGCAAGTACCGCTGAGGTCTCTGTTTGCAGAAATCATTTCCATGACTGTGAGTTTAGGGGCCCAAAAGGTGAGGCAGAAACAGATGCTCATGATAAAGTCCCCGCTGATAGGGGTACATTATGAGGAACACTAAGGAGGACAGTAGAATTATCCTGAAGCCAGCTCAGACATATTTTCAAGGAAGTTCAGCTGCCTCATCAAAATTCAAGGAAAACTTGACAAGGCAAAGCCCGCTTGCACAGAGCGCCAGTCACATCTCAGGAGAAGGCATCAAATCGGCCTCCAGCCTCGCCATCCTTACGCCTTCTGCAGGAACTGCTGGCTGCCCAACCCTCTGCACGCGCGGGGTCCAGAGAGACTGACGCACGGCTGTAACATGACATCTGCAGGCGTGTCTCACAGTCGGTAGTGTCCTCCCCCCACCCCAGGGTTGCCAAGTTTGGTTTGTTTTTAATCTTTAAGCTAAAATGTTACAGAGCCATGGTGTTAAGACCATGGTGGGGAACATGTCCCCAGAACGGGTACTTGAGAACAGATATTGTTTGCTGTGGTTTGTTTGCTTAATTCAACTATATTTTTAAATAATCGTAAGCTACAGAAGTATGGTTTCCTCCCATTGTAGAATTTCATACCTGTTAAGTAGCAATGATAAAAACTTGTACCTGACATAGAGTCACTACCGCTAATGAGATTATTGTGGAAATTAAATGAGAAGTATATAAAGCATTAGCTCAGTGCCTGGCACATACTAAGTGCTCCATAGGGGAGCACTTGGCTACACTGCTGGCATTAATGCTACCCAAATCCTCAGTTGTAAAAATCAGAGTCCTTGGACTGTGGGATATAAAGTGATACCCGTGAGGAGTGTGCCTCTTAGCTCAAATAGATACACGAGACTAAACAGGCCACTTCTGTCTGGAGGAGAGATGGGAAGGCAGAGAGGGTTAGGAGCTGGTTGACTGGACATGGGAAATCGGAGGTGGAAAGGAGGAGTGTGCTGTCACAGTATAGGGAGAGCAATTAGAGTCACATAACAATGTATGTATAAATTTTTGTGTGGGGGAAAAAAAAAATCAGAGTCCTTCTGGGCATTGGGCCAGAGTGAAGTCACCCAAGTCTGCTTAATTCATAGGTGCTTAGAACAGTAAAATTGGCACATTGCAGCCACCTTAAAGAAAGGATGTGCTTATGAATGAATGATAAATCAAATTTCAAGACACTCACCTAGCCTACGTAAAACCACTAACTTTTCAAGCTTTCAGAAGCATGAATAGTTGACATGCTAATTACAGTTCATTTCCATCTGTTCCATTAAGTGGTCCCCAAGAGTCGGGTACCGTATAGCCCCTACTGAATTCCGCATGAGTGCCTATAAGTACACATCCCTCATTGTATACACATTTTCTCTAACACAGACTTCCCACTTCAGACAGCCTCTGGCCTTGGTCTTGTAACTAGCGGACGATCTGTGCAAAAGCAGCCCAGCGCCTGGCCTCCCAGGAGCCTCAGTGAGGGCTGCTTGAATGAGTTCATGAATACCTGGTATCGTGGAGAATACCAGCAGATGCTACCCTTGCCATCAGTTTAGGTGAAGAGACTAAATACCCCCAGTAATCAAAGAATATAGCCTGAGAGTCACCAACTCTCTGAGGCAGATTAATCTGTGTGAAGCCAGACCATGGCTGCCTGGGCCGCTGGCACTCCTGCGAAGCCTTTAAGACTTCACTTTCTCCTCTTCCAAGAAGCCGTCTTTCCCTTGCCCCACCAAAGATAATGTGGTTCCTGCCCCCGTAAGTGCCAACCTTGTTCCTGTACTTGCCTCACTTTAACATGTTGCCGGTGTTTGCCTAACACAAACAACAACAGAGGATCTGCGAGAGCCTGCCCCAGAGTAAGGAGGGGCAGCCATAAAACTAAACCAGATGTCGGGGGACAGGGGATTCAGTGTTTGACAGTTGACCTGCTGGAGGTCCTTCAGCAAAATATTGGCAACAGTTACACCCAGACAGAGTTGCATAAGCGCTTTGCCCAACATTTCTCCCACTTTCCTTTGAGGTCTGTGGCAGTCGTTGGAGGAGGGCAGAGGGTTGCGGAAGGGGAGAAGACATCCTCAGCCTGTGGGGGGGTGCTGTCATCACAGCGTGCCCCCAAGTAACTCAGCCTCCTGGGGAAGTGTTTCCCTTCAGCAGTGTTGTTCCTGTACTGATGACTATATGATTTCCTGCTTCTTCTCATCTCCTGGGAGGGCAGCCACTCGAGTGACTCAATATTAAAGCTTCCCATGGGCTATCTTTCTTGATTCGTATTAACTTTTATTTTTTATTTTTGGGGGGCTTATTTTTGTCAGTCTCCCCCAATCCTTTTAAAATCATTCCACAGGAATCGCCTTGCACTGGCCACCTTGCTGTGGTCTCTGTCC